ACTGTGCATTATGAAATGGTGAACAATTCCTTCTCAAAGGATTCTCTCCATGAGCTTACACACATGTGTGAGGTTAGGCTGATCAGTCAGTACTTTTCTTTCAAGCTCTTTCTCCCTTTTTAAAGAGAGGAGTGACATTTGCACGTTTCTTAGCTAGGGGAACTAAACATTGGTTCAGAGATTTTCTGAAAATGAGTTCAGTGGGAGATACTGTTCATCTGCCAGTTCCTTGATTATTTTGGATTAAATTCTATCAAGACCTGGGGCTAATGAGTCCATTTATGAATGCTCTTCAAATTTGTTTTCGACATTATGGAAATATCCATAATTCATTCTGTTCCCCCTGCTTCAAACATTTGTGGGAGTACAGTATTGAGATATTGTCTACTCTTTTTTAGTGTGAATGCTGATGTACCCTGAGGGCTCCTCGTAGCCTGGTGGATAGCGCGCAGGACTCGTGATTCTGTGGCGCGGGTTCGATTCCCGCACGAGGCAGAAACAAATGGGCAAAGTTTCTTTCACCCTGAATGCCCCTGTTACCTAGCAGTAAATAGGTACCTGGGTGTTAGTCAGCTGTCACGGGCTGCTTCCTGGGGGTGGAGGCCTGGTCGAGGACCGGGCCGCGGGGACACTAAGAAAAGCTCCGAAATCATCTCAAGATAACCTCAAGATAACTCAGTTAGCTCATATCCAATTGGACCTATGTCAGTCTCCTAGGCATCTTATTTTGAGATGATTTCAAGGCTTAGCGTTCCCGTGGCCCAGTCCACGACCAGGCCTTCTTTTTGTTACACATCCCCCAGGAAGCAGCCTGTAGTAGCTGTAACTCCCAGGTATCTATTTACTGCTAGGTGAACAGGTGCATCAGGGGTGAAAGAAACTCTTCCCATTTGTTTCTGCCTCTGCCGGGGATCGAACTCGGAACCTTATGACTATGAATCCTGAGTGCTGTCCACTCAGCTGTCAGGCCCCTGTGAAAGGCATGAAATACCACACTGTACAGTACATGAGTCTTTTGTTCACCTATTAACTATTGTGGGTTGTATCATGGGGAGGGTCTCTCGTCGACCTGGGAAGGCAGCGGGGATTGACTCTCTAAAAGTTTTAGGCTTTCTATCCCCAACAATACAAAACATAACTATTTCCACTGAATGCAATTCATTATTACTACTAACATGGTGCTTGCCGACTTATAATACATCCTAAACAAAGCTTCTAACACACTTCGCAAATTAATACAGACAAAACTGTAACTGGTATCAACAATGCTAGATAATTACCATCATAAAATGAGCAATATACTCAGAAAGAATTGCTCCTCCTTCATAGCAATCAATGCAAAATATTCCAGAAACTGAATTCCTAAAAATTTAGTCTTGCCAAAAATGCAATACATACAGTACAAGAGACACTTCAAATAAAAATACAATACAGTATTCAGTAAACCATCTTCCTTTGTAAATAATTTATAAATAATAGAACTGTGTTTTTGGTAAAGTATGTGCTTATTATTATCTCGTAAGTCTTATCTTATCAAGAACTTCAACACCTGGATGTGTAAAAATGAAGTGGGCATCTCCACATTTTTGTATGACGGCACCATTATAAAGTAATGTACTTAACGTACAAGGAATTTTTTTTTTTTTGTCAAAATAAGTAAAACTAAATTGCCTATTTTTCCATTAAATTTTGCCTAAAACTAGTTGCCTGCTTAACATTAAATTAAAACAAAGGACATTTAATTACTAAACTTTGTTATATATCTTTTCAGGATTAAAAGTAAACTTTATGCTCATAACACAATATACAGTACAGTTCCGCAGAACAAATTAAAACATAAGTTGAGAAAATCATTAATATAAAATATACAAAATCCAAGCCTTAATAAACTGAAACCTTACACAACAAGTATCGACCCTTCTTCTCTTGATACACTAATAAAAGCTTATACAGTACACAGAGACTGTAATTATGCGACAATCACAGTACGTAGTAACCATTTGGATTAAGAGTTACAAGTTCAACATATTTGAGTCATAAGCCAGTATTCATAGCTTAACATTTCCAGCAGGTAAAATACGGTATTCAAAGAACTAAATAGCAATCATTTGAACAGAATCTATTTATAGGATTGAATCCAAAATCCTATATTTTATAATAAATAATTTTTTTATATAATTACCCAAATAACCTATTTAACTAGCCAAATAAGGTCGCGCTCTACCCAACTTGTTACCGGATACTCTGAAACTTATCCGTGTTTCTTTAATAATTATGCATAGAGTACAATTCTCGAGCAAGGCAATTCATTTGAGCACATTTCCTTACACCTGATGTACCTTTTTTCCTAATATCTAGTTGTAAATAGGTATAGTACCTGGGAATTGGGCAACAGTTGTACAAGTAGGTGGCATTCTGGAGGTTTAGTCATTGGCTTAGGGTAAAATGATAAGCCACAGGCTTTCGGTCTATAACAAAGAAACTAACGCCTGTAGCTTAATTTTTTTTTTTCTTTTTTTTTTTTTTTTTTTTTAGATATATACAAGGGTTGTTACATTCTTGTACAGCCACTAGTACGCGTAGCATTTCGGGCAGGTCCCTGGAATACGATCCCCACCGTGAAGAATCATTTTAACAACCAAGTACACATTTTACTGCTGAGTTAAACAGAGGCTACAGTTAACGATTTGCGCCCAGTAAATCCTCCCCGGCCAGGATATGAACCCATGACAAAGCCCTCGCGGAATGCCAGGCGAGTGTCTTACCACTACACCACGGAGGCTGGTAGTCTTAGGTAGTTAATCAGTACCACATCTGGATAAGTATTCTCCTGCTAGGTTATACCATTGCCTGCATGCATCATGGGCTCAGAGCTTAACACATTGAATACCTTAGGCAGTCATTTGTCACGGGGTCCTGTAGCACAGTAGTCTACATTCTTGGCTAACAATTGAGTGTTCTCGGTTCAACAGAAACAGTCATCCACATTATATCCTTTCACCTGATGCCGCTGTTCACCTAGCAGTAAATAGGTACCCAAGAGGGGGGGGGGAACCGTTGTGGGTGGCATTCTGGTTAAAGTTGATCTGACGGGGGGGAGGGGGGGGGAGGGGGGGGAGGGAGAGGTGCCTTCATAACCCTTAGTACATAGACTTCCTCAGACAACTGAGAAATTATTTACTGTATAAAATCAGTTAAACAAGCTTTAGTGTTAAAAATATATTAAGATTTGTATACCACAATCAATTTCAACCACTGAGTAGGCAAAACTAGCAACATTTACAGTTATTTTTGTACACAAAATTTGCCAGCATTAAAATGATTTACTTCTGCCAAAGAAATAACTTGGATTCATATACAGGTATTAATAACTTCCTAGCTATCAGAAGTAGGGACGCAGAGAAAACAACAATATTGCAAAATTTCATTCGATACAGCATCACAGCACCAAGCACACGCACACACTACTGTACCTCCTACACAAAACAGTTCATCAACAGATCTTAAAACCAACCGAACCTTACCAAACTGAAACAAACCTATCCCGACCCAAACCAACCTATAAAAATTATTTTTGATTTATGGAATACACAGAACATAAAACAGAGTAATAAGCAGTTACAGTAAATGAATTGACAAAGGTTTCTGTACTACAGTCAGATTTGTTCTAGACTCACAACCGGGAATTCCGGGTTCGAATCCCAGCTGGGACAGAAATGGTTTGGTACATTTCCTATCGCTAAATGCTTCTGTTCACCTAGCAGTAACTAGGTACCCAGGAATTAGTCAGCTTGCTGTGGAGTTGCATCCTGGGGGAGGGTCAGTAATTCGACCCCAGGGGAGGAGACCTCGACATAAGCCTAACATGTATATATCCACTGGCTGCCTGTCTTCCTACACAATGAATTATTATATTTAATAAAGTAATCAGTTCCCAAAAGTAGGTGCCAACCCAGGAAAACTATGTAGCATACAACAAAGCGTTCGGGAACCAAAAAAGTCTAACCTAGCCTAACACATCGTAACCCAAGCCAATACACCTTAATCTTTTTATATTTATATATACAAGAGTTCTTACATTCTTGTACAGCCACTAGCACACATAGCATTTTGGGTAAGTCCTTAATCCCATGTTCCCCGGAATACGACCTGCCAAATCGTTTAACAACCAGGTACCCATTTTACTGTTTGGTGAACAGAAGCTACAATTAAGGATTGACGCCCAGTATATCCTCCCCGGCCAGGATACGAACCCAGGCCAAAACGCTCGCAAAATGCCAGGCGAGTGTCTTAACCACTACACCACGGGAACTGTATGGGTTTATGGAATTTAACCACGGGGTCTAATCTAGTGATATATATACCGTTTCGACAATCGGAAAACGAGTTTTGTCGAAATGGGTGTTGCACAATTTGACCACATCCCCAGTGTACCAAATTCATCACTCTGGCTTGTATTATTTTACTCAGATATTTAATTTGTGTACATTTAATTAATTTGTAGGTTGTAGTGCGGAATATGGTTGTGATAGAGGCCGGGAGAGTGTCTGCAATGTGTCTAAGTCTCACTTAAAATAACAATATCTACTTAACATGGCCTGGCCTAAGATACTCTGATCAAACCTAAAATAGGCATATAACTAGGATATCGTGACCTAATTCAACTTTTACAAAACCTATCCAGAAAGTCTATAAAACAAGCGTCTAACTACAAAGGGGCGACCTGTCCCGACACCCCCCTAGCGTCTCCTGTAGACACAAGAGTGCCACCCAGCCTACGGCACTCCCTAGTGCCATTAATTGCCATTTAAAGGGATACGTGTTAAGGGAAAAAAAAAAAGAGTCGTTAGTTTGCGTGTGTAAAGGGGAGTGTAAGCGTGAATGGGCATAATGGAGGCGTGGTAGAGGGGCCAGGGGGGCGTGTGTGTGAGTGTGTGAGGCAGACAAGGTGCCATATTGAGGTAATATGAGGCAGCAGACGACGCCGAGGATATACTCACGGCTCTGAGCGCTGCTAGCCTGTCCTTGGTCATCTTGCCGCGGTCCTCTCAGCCTCACTGACACTGCTTCGGTAACTCAATCAAGGGGGTTTACACACCAAGATACATATTCCACTCGTGGCATGAACAGTATCCAACTGAACACTGGCCAAAAATCGATACTCTGGGTGCCAAACACGAGTGACAGTTCTGGGGGGGGAGGAGGTACCCTAGACCCCTAGCCTGCGCACGCATGGCACTCCTCCTTGCCCTCTACCGCCACCCACTCCTATCTTTTGTTAATTATCTGTTATTCTGGCACACTTTTAGCCCTTCATGTCCTATTTTGAGACTATTTTTAACCCTATCATGACTGGGAATAATCTCCCCGCCGCTCGCTAGAGGGTCTAATAGCTAGTTATATATGTTCATCTAGTGGTTTTGGGAAATAATTTGACGTCATTGATGACACAGCTGGCGGTTCAATCTTTCTGCAAAACCCTTATTCTAGACATGTATATAAATGCCATTTGGCACCAGACTATGTCTATGTATCCTTTCCCACACCATTATTCATCGACGCTACAAATCATCGGAAATCATCAATCTTATGCTCTAGAATACATTGTATTTGTAAAACTTGAAATGTAATGATATTCTTCGAAAGGTTATGAACATTTCCCCACTAAAGCCCCCACCCTAATGCCAAGCATTTTGGAGTTTTAAGTAAAAATTTCTCTTGATTCATCCATTGATGAGGCCTAGGCCCGGCCCATCACATTTACACCCATCCACTGATAACATTTTCAAGGAAATGACCGAGTTATAAGATTAGAAAGTTCAGCGATACTTTCACAGGGGGAGAAAGTTGGAACCCAACATCATTACCGAAATTATATTAGCAATAGCTGAAATTGGTATATTCATATTCTCGGCCCAATAAGGTTGAGTATATGAATTCGTAATAAAACTCACCGATGGCCAATTCTCTCGAGTTCTTTATGAAGGGCATAATATTTATATAGGTTGTTGTTTATATTAAAGCTGTCAATATTGAATGAATTCTTTCAACCAGGTTTCCGCCCCTATATTTACCTGCCCACCACTGATTATATTTACAAAGTATTTACACATATATATACATGGAGATTTGTTTGTGAATATTTCCACTCAATTCCGATGCGGTCAGTACTTATAGAGGGGGTAATTGAACAAGTTGATTTTTTTAGTGTACACAGGGATCTTCCTTAACAAATTTCAATATATAACTTCATTCAAAAATGGTAAAGAATTAAGCACCCAATTTCCTCACCGTAATAGACAAGTCTATTGTCATCCCACATTTCATAGAGACTTTAAAGACAGAAGGAACTGTCTGGCATGGTACCAGTCCTGCTTTTATAATCATAGGGTACTCATGCCTCTTATTTATTTATTTATTTATTTATTTATACATATATAAGAAGGTACATTGGGAATGTGAGGATACATAATATGGTAATTACAGTCTTGTAAAGTATACTCTTGTATACTCACAGCCATTCCTTCTTACTCACTATCACAACACCACTTAAACTCTGGCATCACGTACACTCACTTTCACTCATAACCACCACTCACACTCACCACTCACACTCACAGCCCACCACTCACACCCACAGCCCACCACTCACACTCACAGCCCACCACTCACACCCACACAGCCCACCACTCACACTCACAGCCCACCACTCACACCCACAGCCTACCACTCACACCCACAGCCCACCACTCACACCCACAGCCCACCACTCACACCCACAGCCCACCACTCACACCCACACAGCCCACCACTCACACTCACAGCCCACCACTCACACCCACAGCCTACCACTCACACCCACAGCCCACCAGTCACACCCACAGCCCACCACTCACACCCACAGCCCACCACTCACACCCACACAGCCCACCACTCACACTCACAACCCACCACTCACACTCACAACCCACCACTCACACTCACAACCCACCACTCACACCCACAGCCCACCACTCACACCCACAGCCCACCACTCACACCCACAGCCCACCACTCACACTCACAGCCCACCACTCACACCCACACAGCCCACCACTCACACTCACAACCCACCACTCACACTCACAACCCACCACTCACACTCACAACCCACCACTCACACCCACAGCCCACCACTCACACCCACAGCCCACCACTCACACCCACAGCCCACCACTCACACTCACAGCCCACCACTCACACCTACACCATGAGTGTCGTCACTCGGTGCTGCAATATGAGAGCAGAAAACCACTTTCTCCCAGTTTTATACAACGTAGCCTAATGCTTACTAAAACTAATTTACTTAAGTGAGTCAGGACAAAACACATTTGTTTTTAACTACAAATGTGCTGAGAGAATCCTCGTCCTCACTCTACACTCTCATGGGATTAAAACAAACGCTCACATGCTCCAATGTTAATGTGTTAGGAACACTGAATCATAACCTAAAATTAAGTTACAGTGTTACAGTTAGTTACAGTTAGAATTTGACATGTTCCGGCTCTGCTTATTTAACATGCTCCGGCTCTCTGCAGTTTGTACACGTTTTCAGATGTATGTGATTGTTGGAGTTGAGTTTTAGCTCTCGGGCCCTGCCTTTCAACCTTTAATCAACTGGTTTACCGGCTCCTGCTGTCCCCATGACCGCCAACTAACCATTCCAAATAATCCTTCCATGGTGACGTTATCACAAATGACGTGTACTACCCTACACACGTGACATCATTACCCTACACACAGTGACGTCATCACCCTACACAGAGTGACTTCATCACCTCCACTCACCTGTCCGTGGCGTGCCCAACAGGTGTGACAATGAGCGCTACCACTGCGAGATGAGGGAGGAAAGGTGAGGGAAGGAGGCAGGGATGGACTGGACTGGGAGGGATTGAGGGAGGAAGGAATGGGGCCGGGAGGGAGAGAGGGAAGGGGCCGAGAACGTGGTAAAGAGGGAGTGAGGGAATGGGGCACGAAAGGATGGATAGAAAGGGATAGAGATGGAGAGAGGACGAGGGGGAGGGAGGGAAGGGAAGGAAGAGGGAGAGAGAGAGAATGAGAGGGAGGGAATGAAGGGGGAAGAGAAGAAGGAAGGGGGGGAGAGGTGGAGGAAGGGACTGATATCCTGGGGTGTCAATGCTTCTCTATCATCAACACCAACACTAAACTTCACTTCCCAACGTCTGTGTGACTCATCAATGTTCCCGAGACTTGCTGAGTCACTTGTGGGGTGGAGGGGAGCTAGGGACGGGGCGGAGGAGATAGTAGGGGGGAGTTGGAATGGGGAAGGGGGAGGAGGAGGAGATAAGGAAGGGGAGGATATGGAGAGGGGAAAGAGTCCTGTGGCACAGTTCTCCTTGGCAGTTCTTGTACCATGAACACCAAAGAATGCTCCAAATTATTGAATAACAAATACAACAATTTGACGAACTCGTTAGTATGAAGATAAGTCGCCATTTTCCTGGCGATAACCGACCTCCGGTGTACTATAAAACTACATTTACTCACTCCCATAAGAAGGATGGGAAAGGCAATACGGGATATGCTACGGGATATCTATCCCTTCTATGAATGATTCCAGGTCTCCCGTCCTACCTATCAACATTGGTGTTCCTTAGGGCGGCATACTTGGCCCTCTCCTCTTTCTCATGTACTTTAATGGCCTTCCAAATGCCTCTCAACATCTCAAACCAATTTTATTTGTTGATGACATAACCTTCATTTTCTCCAATCCTAACCCTCTTGCTCTGAATGTTACAGTGAATACTGAACTAATTAAAATTCATCTTTCGCTACCTGCTAATACACTCACCCTTAACATTGACAAAACCTTCTAAATTTTGTTTGGTAATAAATCCACAGATCAAATTAATCTAGGAATAAACAATATCCATATTAGTAACAAAGTAGATGGTAAATTCCTTGGTGTTCTCATCGATAACAGGCTGAATTTCCCGGGCCATATTCAAAATATAGCAAATTTCTTTAAAAACTGTTGGCATTCTTTCTAAGATCAGATATTATGTACCTCGCCCTGCCCTGGTAACGCTCTATTACTCTCTCATCTATCCTCATCTCAACTATGGTATTTGTGCTTGGGGTTCTACCACCCAAAATCATCTACGTCCTCTAATTACTCAACACAAATCTACTATTAAAACGATAACAAACTCTGGCCCCAGACAGCACTCAGTACCCCGACTTAAATCTTTGAATATGTCAGATATTGTCACTCCACATTTAATTCTCTCAAGTGTACTCTATATATTTAAAACTCTGAACTGTAATGCCAATCCTGACCTTAAACGCTTCCTAGAAGGTTGTAACAGAACCCATGAGCACCACACCAGAAACAAATTCCTGTTTGATATTCCAAGAGTGCGACTTAAACCAAACTAGAAATACTCTGCAAATCAGGGGACACAAAATGTAGAATGACCTTCCCAATTATGTCAAAGGCTGTACCTCTCTCAACCAGTTTAAGAGAAAAACAAAGTACTACCTAATAAACTCCATGTAACCTACCTTACCCCCTAAATGTCAACCCATCTTGCTATTTTCAAACAATACTGTTTGTTGGCCAACTTAATTTTATGCTTTGATCTCAATTAACATTAAGTTTTAGTCTTAAGTTTTTTCCCCACTCCTTGCCTGAAACGCTGTGCGTATTAATGGCTTTAGGCATTATATGTACTAGCTCTTTCTAGAAATCCAACATTATGTTTGTAACTCATCTTGTATGTACTTTTACCTGAAAAAAACATATGATTTGATTTGATATAATTGACAGCAATTGTAAACCATGCAGTGAGAGGGCCAAGATTCGTCCTGTTATTTACCTGACGACCACTAGCCCTAGTGGCCTCGACGAGGACAGGAAGCCGGCGGCTTGTCGAAGGTCCTCCCCCCATTTGCCTTGATAATTTTTCAGATAGATTTTAGAACTTAACACAGTTTTGGCATTTACGGCTTCAGCGGGTAGGCGGTTCTATGGGTTTATAACCCTGTGGGTGAAATTGGTGTTATTAATTTATTATGATAACAAATCTTGCACAGATTCCCTCATAAATAACATTTCTGCCGTTCACAAACTGAAGTGTAGTATATAAGTTTATCATTAAACACATTCGTTTTCTAAATGTTTTTCATTTTCTGTTACAAATATAAATCAGGGACACTATAAACATTTTTCATGACGCCTGCATTTGTGATTTAGATTGACCTT